CCGTTTTTATTTATCAGCTTAAAATTTTAACGTTTTTCAGAAAAATCAAGTTTTTCACGGTAGCATCCCGTATCAATTTTCGCAAAATAAGTATTTTATCTATTTATTCAGAAAATTGCAAAAAATCACGTACTCTGGTAGTATTAAAAAGTCGGGATGTTACAATTGGTATCAGAGCACGTTTCTGCGTCTCTGAAAAGTTTTTTCAGTCTGTAATTTTCAGAAAAACCTGAACCGTCACGCTCACGCCTCGCCGACTCCAGGTAAGTGCTGATTCAGCTTTCAGTTATAAACATATTACTTTGTCTATGCTCAGAAATCAGTAATCAGACTTAGTTAAGATGCTCGAATCAGGTTCAGACTTTAGAGTTCAGGCATAACTCTAGAATTCAGTATATTCAGGCATGACTTTAGAGATCAGTATACTCAGACATGACTCTAGAATTATTATCTTTCGATATGACTCTAGAGTTCCTCAGGTTTCACATCAGTAATTATCGGCCATTTTGGCAACTCGTCAAGAGATCTGTGTGCCTTAGTAATCAGTCAGAATATTATCACGTGTTCAATAATTTTGAACTTTTCCAATGTTCAGATGCCGCCACGTAGGGAACCCGATCATCCGGCTCCTACTCAGGCTACAGTGGTCGCCCAGTTCCGCGACTATCATGCCGAAAAGTTCTCAGGGCAGGGAGATCCTCGTATAGTAGACGAGTGGATTCAGGGCCTGGAGTTTATCTTCGAGGTCCTGGAGTGCCCTGAGAGATACCGCGTTGTTTGCGCTCAGCTTCAGCTCACCGGTGATGTCAGGCTCTGGTGGAACCCTTACTAGAGCATGCGTCCCGGCGAGAAGGCGGGATGTACGTGGGAGATGTTCAAGGAGTTAATACGCGAAAAGAACTACCCCACATACTACCGAGCAGAGATGGAGCGTCAGTTTCTATCGCTCCAGCAGGGTACTCGTACTGCTGACGAGTATGAGAGGGAGTTCACGAGACTTGCAGCTTTCGTTCCTGATTTGGTCCGCACGGAGGCCCAGCGAGCACAGCATTTTATTGACGGGCTTTACCCAGCAGTCCGTCATAACATCATAGGCCACGGGACACAGACGTACGCGCGTGCAGTTTCCATTGCACATGAGGTGGACGCCAGCATCATGAGGGAGACCGTCCGTGATCAGTTCCAGCTATCCACCCCTGCTCAGTCGTCTTCAGTTCCACCGATGCCAGCTCTACCATCTGCTCAGCCACCGAAGAATAACAAGAGGAAAAAGAAAGGTGCCCCGACTGATAAGAGGACCCGACGGAGACTACAGCAGATTCCTTAGTGCCCGACATGCGGACGACTTCACCGAGGCGAGTGTCGCTTTGGTCAGGATGTATGCTACTACTGTCACGAGCCCGGACACTTTGCTAACCGTTGTCCGAAGAAGGCGCAGCCGCCTCAGCAGCCTC